GGAGAGGTTACTGTGAGCCCAGAGTGCTGGAAGTAAGCTTGGGGTCGCCTGTACTCCACCAATCTCCAAGGAAGGAGCGCTTGCTGTGCTGGTAAAAAGGCAGAACGAAACCTGCCTAGGGAGGGCAGAGACACAATGAACACTTCAGACTGTCCCTTCTGGCCAGGAAAACCTAGGTCAGGGCAGCAAGAGACCCCATCAGTCCTCGCTCTACCCCAGACTCCCATGTGACCCTCGCTCTACCCCAGACTCCCATGTGACCTTCAGCAAGTCTGTCTGTCTGTCTGTCTGTCTCTCTGTGGGGGCTTCTGGGAAGATAGGCTGGGGGTATAAAAGGGCATATTGGACAGGCTGGGGGCTGCAGACTGCAATTTGAATCTAAGGTGAAGGCCTGTCAAGAGTGGAGCAGCAAGGAAGACTGGGAGACCCAGAAGGAGAGCTCAGAGGGGAGGAAGTGGAGGCTGGGACTGGGAGAGAGGCAGAAATGAGGCTGTCATCTGCGACACCAGGGGCTTTGGGGCAAATCAGGGAGCAGAGACTAGAAGATGAAAGACTGAGGAAGATACAGGGGCCAAAAGGGCAGGGGCCCAAGGGTGCCAGACACAGGTGGGAGCAGAAAGACAGAGACAGAGCACTGGGCCAGGGATGGGGGCCACAAGATGGACACAGGTGCATAAGAAGTCACAGACAGAAAGACAGACAGACCTAAAGTAACCGGGACTAAATAAGAGAGAAGGACACACAGACATCACCTAGGAGACACCAAAGGAGACAGAGACCAGAGAGAGGGTGTGAGAGAGGAAGAGAAGGCAAGCCTAATTCCCAGGCTCAGGGACTTAGGTGAAATACAGCAGCAAACTGAGCAGAAGGGACTGAATTAGGGGGGTCCTGCCAGGGGAGGGAGACAGACAAGTGGGCATGTGAGATACTGGTATCAAAGGTAAGAAGGCAAATGGGGTGAGAGAGAGGGCAAAAGAAATGACAACAGGCACAAGCAGTGTGGGGAGGAAAGAAATTGCTAACCTCTGAAAAGAAAGAGGGCTCCTTGGAAAGAGAGGAAAGAAGTGTGTCAGAGCCACACAGCAGATCCATAGGAGAAGGGGTGTGCAAGACTGAGAGAGACAGACAGAGACAGACTCAAACTAGTAGAGAGAGGGAGTGAGAGTCAGGGAGGAAAACTGAGGTGGAAGACTGAGAGACCTGGAGGGGCACAGGCAGGGACAGGCAAAGCACCCATAGGAGGGGAGCCAGTCCGCATAGAGGTGCACCCACTCAGAGTGCCTGCGGGCATGTTGGGGGACCTGGAGCATTGAGGGGGGCGGGTGAGGGGAGAAGTGGGAAGAGGATTGGGGGGATTGTGGGCAAGGCCATCAAGGAAAAGAAAAGACAAAGTCACAAAGTGGACTGTGGAGAGGGGCAGTGGCTAAGGAGTGAGCAATGAAGGGGATACACCCAGAGTGAATCTGGGGAGGAAAGCAGAAAAGTGAGAGAAGGCAGCTGGCCTCCAAGCCCAGGGTTAAAGAGGGAGGAGACCAGGTGGGCAGAGGCCCAGGCAGAGCACAGAGTAGACAGAGAGAAATGGCAAGAGGGCTAGATTTGGCATGGCAGCCTCCAGAAGAGACAAGAGACAGGGGAGTTTGGAGAGAGAGAGAGAGAGGGAGAGAGAGAGAGAGAGATCGACGGAGACACACCAAGAAATAGTTAGGATACCAGCAAAGAAGAGAGAAGTTGGACAGAGTCAGAAGCCCCACAGCCACGTGAAATGGAGATTCAAAAACAGACAGACTTTTCCAGAAGATAGAGACCAGATGGCATGGGGATGGGTCCAT